TTATTATTATTCACAACCCATTAATATGTTACATAACATCGCATATTGTTATTATCTTATGTTTAATTTTTAATTATTATTATTATTTAAAACTTGTTCATTTTACAAACCGATCCACGTTAAAAAAATTCCTTCTTTTTAAATATTCGCGTAAAATCTTTTTTTCAATAGCAAATAATTATTACTATTATTATCATCATCACTACTACTGTTACTACTGGTTCATGAAATTTGAATCCAGGTAAAAAGTTTGAAAAAATTTTTTTTTGTTAAATTGTATACATAAATTATAATTTAAACATTTTGTTTGGAGAGAGAAAAAAAAAATTTTTACAATTGTAGTTTAACAACAAAAAGAACAAAACTTTTTTTTTTTCTACAAATGGTCACCACCACCACCATCATTTCCATTTGCAAAACAATAAAAATGCGAGGGTGGATGATGGATGATGGATTATATGCATGTACGGATGAATTTTTAACGTTTTAAGAAATTTTTTTTTAACAATAGCAAAAATTTTAAAATTACGACCGGAATAAAGAAAAAAATACACGAAAAGAAACACGAAAAAATTAATTAATCTTTTATTATTATTATTATTATTTTATAGATTTCGAGTTTTGTTATTCGAATGAGTCAAATAATTCGATATATATATATATCGAATCGAACTCGACATGGATTCATGATTTTTTTTTTTTTTAAGTAAACGTTTCCTTATGAGATTCAATTCAATTCATCGTCGGCTCATTTAATTTTCGGTCTAATTAATGGTTTTGTTTTTTTTTTCTTTTTTTGGGGTCAAACAATCTCTTTCGTGCCGGATTTGTAAAAGCCTATTTTTTTATATATTACCCCTCACCCTCCACCTCCTCATCCCCTCGTTAAAAAATTATTATTATTATTATTATTTTACGGTTCGTATTAATTGAATAACTACGAATTAATTTTTAATCACAGTTGAAAAAAAAAAAAAATTAATTCGATTACATAAAAATGAGTGAGAGAGAGAGGGGGGGTGGGGGGAAGGAAGAGAGAGGAACGTAATCCGTACCTTAATAAATATTATACATGTAAAATAATAATGATAATTATTTTCCGAACGACAAACGCCTTATGGAAAAAAAAAAAATTTTTGGAAAATTTGTATTCGTTCATTCATTCATTCATTCATTCTTCGACTTACGAATTCGATATAAAAATAAAAATTATTTTCTCTCTCTCTCTCTCTCTCTTTCATCATTGATTTAAACAAAAAAAAAAAATTTTTTTTATTTTTATTTTTCAATAAAAACCTTCTTTTTGTTCATTCAATTTTTATTTGCTTCGTATCGAACCTGGTCATTTAAAATTTTTTTTTTTTTTTACACAGCAATCAACGATATTATTTTGATTATATTGATCGTAGATAGATTTACAGTCGGCAACTATTGTAATTATTATTATTCTATCTATCTATCTCTATCTATCTCTCTCTTTCTCTCTCTATTTTTTTTATAATTCGATAATATATGGTTGATTCGAAAAACAACAAAAACAAAAACTACTCGATATCGAAAATGTAACCAGAAAACGTACAAAAAAAAATTTAATTTAAAAGAAAATAATAATAATAATAATAATAATAATAATAATAATAATAATAATAATAATGAACGCATTGATTATTATTTGATTTCTGATTAATTCAATGAATAATAATAATAATAATAATGATAAACTACACAACTAGAATTTTTTTTTTAAAAAGAAATTTTAATTATATTAATTATCAATTAAATAAATAAATAAGATAACGAAAAAAATAAGTCACCTTATTCAAATAGGAACACAAATTATTATTATTATTACGACTACGTTTCTTACGAAAAATAATAATAATAATAATAATTAAACAAAGTAATTTACAAAATGTGCGTTTATGTACATAAATAAATAAGTTTTCGAAGAAAAAAAAATTAATGGTAATTTTTTTTTAAATAAACGCGCGCGTAAAATTTTTTTTTTTTTTGTTAAAAACTTCACAACGTTTTTCAGTGCATTAATTAATTAATTAATTAATTATTTAATTAGTTATTCTCATAATGAAGATATATCTATCTTTCTCTCTCTCTTTCTATTGAGTAATAAAGTTATTACAAACTAATTAATTAATTAGTTATTAACCTAATTGTTATTAATATTTACTTTT